AGGAGTTTCAACATATATGCATTCAGCTAAATAACATTTAACTCTCCTTCGTTGAAGCTTTCATCTTCTAGAATTGACTTTATGTCAAATTGACTTACTGTAAATATTTAACTTTTACTCCGAAATGATTGAAATCAGTCAGTCAGTCAGTCAGATGCAACGTAGAACATCGTACGTAAGTACATCAGTTCATGTCGCCATACAACATCAGCACAGAGATATAATTGTCAATTCAAATCCAATAGTAGAAGAGGTAGTAAAGGTATTAGGAGTAATCGGAGACGTTAGGATTAGAAGATATTATTCAACAAGTATGACTTAATGAGAAAAGTTTAGAAAGTAAAAATTAGAGGTGTTGAAGAATCCAGAAGATTAGGATCAGAGAGAACACAGAGAATAAATGCACCGGCGCCATTCCAAACGATTTTGAGCCATAATATTCAAGGTCTCTAACCATCGATTATTATCATCTCGCGGACCCCAACCAGGTAGTCGACAATTACCGACATGACTAAGTCCACTCACCAATGACTTCATGGATATCTGCCATGTTTTGTTTTGGCAGCCCCTTACTTTCTTCCAACCTATTCCTACACTACAAAACAAAGCTCTTCGAGGCAGTCGGTGGTTAGGCATACGTAACACATGTCCCAACCACCTCAACTGATGAAGTTTCAATACTTCATCTATTGATCTGCCATTCTTACCTAGCACCCGATTCCTAATAACAGTGTTGCTCACTCGGTTGTCCCACGATATACGAGCAATGCTTCGAAGACACCTATGATCGAAAACCAGTAACCTTTCGAATATCTTATACTCTCACTGGCCATGTTTCACAGCCATAAAGTAAGACGGAGCGAACTGCTGCAAATGATTGAAATAAAATCTATCAGTCCATTATATATCGATCAATTTGAAATTGCTGTAATAAGAATTTGTATTTCAGTATTATACTGAATGTTACTTTCAAACCGTAAAAAGTCACATTTGTCTTAGTTTATTAGCCTAACTAATTAGAAAAAATAATATCATTCAACAAATTTCATTGTATATTATTGACTTGCATTGTCTAAAAAAATCGAACAGACATATTTTAGTTATTCAAAATGAAAACAGTAACAAAAGAAACTTACTTATAAAAACGAAAAACAAAATATAACTCCAACTTATTTGAATGTTTGTATGAAACTAAATTTTTAAAGATAAGATAAGATAATGTCAGTCAGTCAGTCAGATGCAACATAGAACATCGTACGTAAGTACATCAGTTCATGTTGCCATACCACATCAGCACAGTGATGTAATTGTCAATTCAAATCCCCATAGTAGTAGAGGTAGTAAAGGTATTAGGAGTAATCGGAGAGGTTAGGATTAGAAGATATTATTCAAGAAGTATGATTCAGTGAGAAAAGTTAAGAAAGTCAAAACTAGAGTTGTTGAAGAATCCAGATTAGGATTTGAGAGAACACAGAGAATAAATGCACCGGCGCCATTGCGAACGATTTCGAGCCATGTCATTTAAGGTCTCTAACCATCGATTATTATCATCTCGCGGTCCCCAACCAAGTAGTCGACAATTACCGACATGACTCAGTCCACTCGTCAATGACTTCATGGATTTCTGCCATGTTTTGATTTGGCCGCCCCTAACTTTCTTCCAAACCAAAACATGGCAGAAATCCATGAAGTCATCGACAAGTGGACTTAGTCATGTCGGTAATTGTCGACATTATAAGATAATGTTGTGTAGTACCATAATAACATTATAGTACTTACTTACTGACTTACTTACTTACTTATTTACGCCCTATACCTGCAATGGTCTATAGACAGACCGATTACCAGCGCTCTCCAACCTACTTTGTCCTCGTGTTGTACTTCCTAGTACTGTCCAACTACCGTTCGTTCTTCTGATGTCTGACTACGACGTAGAATAACGTGTTTCAAAACCCATTTGCAATGGCGCAGGTGTATTCATTCTTTGTGTTCTTTCAAATCCTAAACTTTTTAATTCCTCATCACTTTATCTTTTTAAGTCTATTTCACTACTTCCTACTTCTTGAATAATATCTTCTTGTTATGCTCGTCACAAGGTATGCTTGAAGCTATTACGAGTTAACCGTAGTCGATAAAAACGAACGAGACAATTAACAGCGTCCAGGTAGGCTTGCTTGAATCCTAAACTGCAAAACAGAAGTCTTGATAAGCGTAGAAGGTATATTCTACAGCACCCAGCAATCACAATACAATCAAGCACACAACTCTCGTTTATTTATACATTATAGAAACGTCCTTGGGGCAGTTACGAAAATAGCACACTAAAATACACAGCAGTCAATCATAGCCAAGGACTTTCCTCGTGGGAAATGAAATCTCAAGGCCGACTGTAATCCTAACCTGTTTGACTACAGATAATACCTTTACTACTATTGGATTTGAATTGACAATTGCATCTCTGTGATAATGTGTGGTATGGCAACATGAACTGATGTACGTACGTACGTACGAAGTTCTACGTTTCTATTGATTGATTCGACTGATTGATGTCTGATTCCGTTTTTCAGCCTCCCTCTTTTCATTTAACCTTGAGGATCTCAAACTGAGTGCTTGTCTTGTGAAACACCAGGGTGCTTTCAGCAATGCCTCTCCTATCCAATTTCCAGCGCTTCTTGATTTTTCTGTCCGCTGGTATCTGATTTGTTTTCTTCCACATTAAGATGTTGCTGATGATAATTCTGGTAAACGGATTCGAAGTATTTTTCGTGAACAACTGTTTATAAACACTTGCATCTTCTGCATGATAGCCTTCTTACTTCCCCTTTTCCATTCAAACCTTCAGTCGAAGTAATCAATACTCAAACGGGTTCAAATTTATTACATTACACTGAGGTTATCGTTTATCGAAAAAACAATTCCATTTTTTTGTTCTGTTTGTTATGATGTAACTTTGATAGTGATTTTTGATTCGCTGGAGATGTATTTTAATGTGTTGATGCTGATGATGATGTCAAGACATCGATTAGTACAGCATTTCTACAGTATCTTGTGTAGAGAACCGTTAATAAACACTTGTATCTTGTGGATGATGTCTTTTGTAGTTGTCCAAGTTTCCAATCTATTAAATAAAACTAGTGAAATATCAGTCACCGTAGTTGCTACGTTGACGTGGTGGTCGGGCTTGCCTATCGTCATGACACAACCGAGCTATATGTTTCTACAGGTCCTACCATGCCAGGCAGGTCGATTGGAGAACGATGAGACTAAAAGGAGCTACTCAAGGTTTGAGGGCGAAGTCGTACTGCTGACTGTGATGGAGGGGTGTGACATTAGTAAGGTGTTTCCCTCGGACAACCAGCATCTGCAGCGATGATGCCTTCTCACAAGGAAGGAAGGGTTAGAAAATTTCGGCCCTAAAAATGTCATACCTCACTCTACCTTACGGATTTCCGTCTCCTTGTGTAAGGGTGCCCACCAAGGGCTTTCAAGTGCGGAGCTAACACTCAAAAAACCTCTCATAAAAAGGCCGTGTGTGACCGGCCTCAAGTAGTTGTCCCTTGGACTCTGTGGTCACGCTCCCAGGTCTTCAATACCAATACTAATCTATCTTCCTTTTCAGGTCCCTCAAGAAACAACGTTCCACGGTGTGGGCAGCCGGGAAGTGATAACCGCCCTCATACCCGTAACAGCAGACGAGACCAAATTGGTCAAAACCAAATCCTTCCTACACCCACACACACCTCTCTTCTCTCCACAACGAAATATATACACATGTAGCCCCTCTAGGGCTACTGCTAGTACCAAGCCAGGATGAAGGAGGATAGTTGCGCATGCGGTTGGCGAACCAATCCCAATGCCAAAAAAAAGCTAACCAGAAAAAATAATTCAAACCATTTTAACTCTGCCCTGGGAGTTGGAAGAAGAATTATTAGGTCTCGTGATGAAAGCTGAGATCCTTCGGAGGTCACGAGGCCGATGACCCTTTTGACAACCAGAGCAACCATTTTTTTTAGGTACATGGAACGAACGAAAATTGTGGCAGACTGGAAGACTACTTCAAGTTGCTACAAAGATGAATAGATATAACCTGGATGTGCCTGGATATATACATATATGCAGAAAGCCACAAAACGTATCTATTCAATCAGTAATAAATTTTTGTTTAAAGCTTACTAGAGAAATATCTAAGAAATCTTAAAGGTCACACGTCAATTTTTTTCTGACTAAATATTCATTTGTACAGCAGCTACAGTATGTTCATGGAAAATCTCAAGAAGACTTAGGTCACTTGAAACTCTATACAAATATAATTTCAAGTTTTATGCTTAAACTAACGAACTATTATTTCTGTGAACTGACATTTTATGCCTTTTCTCTATTGTTCGAATTAACATGTAGAAGTTGTTTGCAGTCATAGTAAGCGGCTTCGAAGATAGTAAAACATATATCAGAGACAAGACATATCTTCTGTAGTCTAATATATATATAAGTGAAGGACAGCAGCTAGTGTCAAAAAATTACCACTCCAGTATCGTTGTACCGTTCCATTGTAAGATCTATATATGCATATGATTTGTTAAAAATTGTCATTCAAACGTTAACAATGAAACTCTTCACTGAGTTGAATTCCTGCTGGTTACAATATGAATTGAATTGGACTGTGGAATATAACCAACCAGCCAACCAACTATTCATCATGAAGTCTATCCGGATAGGACTAATTCTCAGATTAGATTGACTGACAGACAGGTTTCTAGCATTTTACAATATATAATCCAAATTATGAACGCTGACTTGTACAGTGTATGATTCATGCTGAGACTGAGGGTACAGAATTGACAATACCATACATATATGCATGTTTTATGGATTTAATGTCGTGACTGAATACGAGAAATAGTTTTATAAATAAAAATTTGCATAATATTCTCAGCTCAAAAGTGTTTCGATTATATTTTCTGATTCTTTTTTTCAACAAACATATATGAAACATATATTCTATGAAACAGCTCAATAATAATAATAATACTGAGAAGATATCATTCTCCTCAACAAAAATGTATACAATACGCTTCTGGAATGGTGAGGAACTCAAACTGGAACCATCATCTTCAGAGAAATTAGAGTAAGTGTATGATACATTTATCAAACTGACTTTGTAATCCATAATAATGAACAAAATTTTAATTGGTCAACAATTCAAGGTCATCACATTGTCAGCATGTTCATCGATGACAAGTGTATGTAAATTGACCAATCAATTTTTAGTTTTGAATATTTTTAAGGTCATGATTCATTTTTTGGAACATTGATTCACCTGATGATGAGTTAATCTAATTCGATCAACATTCCATACATGATGTAAAATCCAAAAAATGTGACGTAACATAATTGCAGAAATTAAAAGGAGCGAATTTCAAATCTAAAATATCAAAATCATGTAGTAGTAATATGAAAAACATGTTTGTTTACTATAATAAATGTGCGAAAAATGACTATTGAATATATTTTTATTAAAAATTAAGGTAATATTTTGTATTCTAAATTGTTTGTATTATTTTCATTAAAGAGATGTTGTACGATCGCATTTATCCGATTACACTATTCCAATACAATGTACTGATTTGAGCAGTGCAAAATTTATTCCATGGGAAACACCTACAACACAATTATCATCGAAAACATTGTTGATCAAAAGTAAGTTAAGATCAATAATTAATTTCTCTCTTAATATTCTTCAATGAATATATATATATATATAATTTTGAATTATAGGTATCACACAGTAACATAGTTTAAAAATTTCACATCCAATTCATTTATTTACGTGTATGAATTTATGCTGTTATTATGTGAGTGTATTAATAAATAATAAAGATATTGATTTTTTATCGATCGATTGATCGATCGACCGATTAACGGATCAATAAATATATATCAGTGAAGTGTACATTTAATTCCCTACTCATCTTTTTAAGTTAAATTTGTGTTTTTTTTTAATAGTAATCATACTCTTAAAATAAAATATTTTTCTAAAAAAAGAACTTTTTTATTGTATATAACATAAATCTCATGTCAGTGTAAATTGTATATTAGATTAGTACTTACTTACACACCTGTTAGCCGCAGTGGCGCATACATAGACCACCGATCAGCAATTGCCATCTTACTTTGTCCTGGGACTTGTTTTACAGTTCTACCCAATTTATGTCCGTTTTGTGTCCATTATTCGGCATAAGGTGTTCCTTGGCCTTCATCGGTTCCTATGACCTTGAAGGTTGTTTCATGTTACAAATGAACTTTTCATGTGTCCAATTTTTTTTTGTTCGACTTGTTTTTAGCTATTATCCATGAATTGTATTTGGCCATTTGTGTAAATTGATTATTGATTATTGATCAAAAGCTTTGTAGAAATATAAAAAAGTTGATATTTTATAGTATATATTTGTACTTTCAATGATCGATTACAATTTAACATGTGTGCTTAGATGACAGTTGTAAACCAGTTCATGTTTATCGATAGGAAACATATTTTAGTGAGAATAGTGCATGAATGAACTGTTAGGTTTATTTATGAATGCCTTGAACATTGACAAATTCAAATTCTCCGCTTGTATATACAGCTCTTTTATAGTGGTTTACAAAGAAAATGTATCATCGACAGATTCTTAGGTTGATGAAAACTTTGACTATTGACAAATTTAAGTGCCTGATTATGGAGTAGAGAAACCATTTGTTGTAACCTTGACTTTACTATGACAATCTCTAGACCATTTTCATTCACTAAGGTAATGTGATGATTTTTTATTGTTTCCAGATTAGGCTCAGTTTCTTTCTTGTTTAGGCTTACAATGAACTCTCATTTAATTGACCTTGACAAGTGTGTGTGTGTGACTAGACGGTTTGAAAAATATATATGGCGCAAATATATCAGCTCCTTTATTAATAAAGCTCAACTTCATCTTTTGCCTAATTCTATTAAAATTTCCATTTTTATATTTTGTGTTTGGCTCGAAAACAACTATGACTGACTTATAACATCAAGAGATTTTCCCTGTGAAATTTTCATTTCTAGCTTTCAAGGCACATTTAAAAGTCGTGTTCCCTTATGGCAGTTTTTGATTGTATCTGATACTTTCTAATGTTTTGACTAGGAGAGATGGTTGGCTGGTCGAATTGAGCAGACATTGTACCACACCTTGGATGGCATGCTGTCTACCTGTGCAGTATTTGCAAATGTATTAACAAGACTAGTGTTGACAGCAACCACACAACACTGTATGTGTTCACAATCTTGACCCTGTGTAGTACGTGTTGCGCAACTATACAAGGTAGTGAGTGGATTTGTGGCCAGATTGCGCAATGCACACCTTCAATTTTGTTTGTCTGTTCAATTTTATACTATTTTTGTCAACTTTACTCATTCTGAACACTTACTTATTCACTAAAAATGAATAACATTTTTCATATGCAACTAACTATATAATACACAACAACCATTGTGACATTGAATGTGTAGGCGTTTAAATTAAATTTATCAGTCTAGCCAATCCGATTGATCGACATAACAAGGTCAAATTCAAATAATACGTCTGTCGTCTTTTGTTTATTACCTTTTTTCTGACAAATTAAATTTATATTATTAATAAACTTTTACGTGTGTTAATTGTTTCAATCAAAAAGATTATTCGAATACAGTAACTCTCCATTCTCTGTCCCTCTCTGTCGACAATATGATATACATTATGCTGGAAATATTTTCATGATCATCGTTTTCTAAACTTCAAAAGGATATTTATTTACCTATTAGAATTTCATTTGTACAATTGACAGACAAAACAATTAATCACTCAAACATTACAATCCATGAGTTTAGGTCATATCTATCGTTCATTAGTACAGACTGATTTGAATGATTCCACAGTTGAACGACAGTCATCAATGACCACCGATTCTTCATTAACAAATAATAATCTTGAAATTATTTATCAATCAATCACGAACAATTTCAAACCATTTATTGAGATTAGAGACAAGAATGTAGATGATACAAAACCACCGATTAGAAAAAGAAATCGTAAAATTTCTAAAGCTATATTTGGTAAGATAATATAAATAATAACTGATTGTAAAAAATTGATTTATTGAAGTTGTAAATTTTGCTGCAGTATAGATGTTTTGTTGTTGTTGTTACAATTTGTGGATTTTAGGTGTGTATTTTTGGGGGGGCACAGTTTTGGAGGTTTGCGATTTTACACATTTGAAATCATCAATCAATCATTGTTAGACCACCATTAGAAATCTGGAAGCACTGAGAGACGGCCGTTTCGTCCTGGTATGGGACTCATCAGCAGTGCGCATCCACGACTCCTGCTCCTCGCAGGATTCGAACCTGGGACCTTTGGCATTGTAGGCGAACGCCTTACCATCGGATCAGTGGGCCGTGATCCAACGGTGTTAATGTCTAACTCTGATTGATCTAGGGATTTTGCGCGACCTCACCCACTTGTCTTTGGTAGTTACTGCCTACACCCGACAGGGTTGAACTCCACTGGTCACGTCTTCTCAACTAGAACTCCGAGAATTTCCTCACGAAGCTAGTCACCAGTGAGCACTGTTACGATATTTCGGGGCACAGTTTTGGTGGTTTCCGTTTTTACACATTTGAAATCATCCTGCGAGGAGCAGGAGTCGTGGATGCGCACTGCTGATGAGTCCCATACCAGGACGAAACGGCCGTCTCTCAGTGCTTCCAGGTTTCTAATGGTGGTCTAACAATGATTGATTGATGATTTCAGATTTTAGGTGTATTTATAAAAAAAACTTTTATCAGTTCAATGTACATTTGTATTTTCCGGCTTTTTCTTCAATGTTCAAATTCGAATTTGAATGAAGTGACGTAGTGAAATGTTGTTTAAATGTACACCGATGGTTTCATTTCAATTGTTTCTATTGTGATAACTTTATGTGTTGAGTTAGTGCATTGGTAAACAACGAGAGACAAAAAAATAATGTTCCCTTGTTTGTAGTGGTGTTTCGTTCTCTGAACTGGGGTTGTTTTAGTTGTGGAGCTTTCATTGTTCTTCTTCTTCTATCTGAAGTTTGTGTTGATGATGATGATGATGTTGTTGGCCAAAAGAACAACAATGACAGCTCTACAACCAAAACATCCAGCCCAGAGAATGAAACACTACCACAATCATCCACCTGAGCTAATAAATTTTCTCCACCATCTCAATGTGACCTTGTTTTTTTATAGTTGAAGTAACTGTCTGAAGTCAATTAGTTGGTGGAATAAATTACAAGTAATGTACTCAATATTTCTTATCTTTATTATAATCATTTGATTTTAACCAGTTTGGTCTCGTGTGCTGTTGCGGGTATGAGGACGGTTGTCACTTACCGGATGCCCACACCGTGGAAGGTTGTTTCTTGAGGGATCTGAAAAGGAAGATAGATTAGTGTTGGTCTTAGAGACCTGGGTGCGTGACCACAGAGTCCAAGGGAAAACTGCTTGAGGCCGTTAAGAGTAGAGGAATTTCGTGGGTTACTAGTCTTCGATCATCGATGTCTCCGAAGCATTGCTCGTGTATCATGGGATAACTGTATAAGCAATGCAGTCGTTAGGAAACGAGTTCTACGTAAGGATGACAAATCAATAGATGAAGTAGTGAAACTTCATCAGCTGAGGTGGTTGGGATATGTGTTACGTATGCTTAACCACCGACTGCCTCGACGAGCTATGTTTTCAGTGTAGGAGTGGATTGAAAGAAAGCTAGGAGCGGCCAAACCAAAACATGTCACAAATCCATGAAGTCACTGACAAGTTGACTGAGTCATCTTGGTAGATGTAGGCTACCTGGTTGGGGTCCGCGAGCCGAAAGTCACCAATGGTTAGAGACCTTGAATGACATGGCTCAGAATCATTTGCAATGGTGCAGGCGCATCCACTCTTTGTGTTCTATCAAACTCTAACCCTCCGAATCCCTCATCATCTCTATCTTTCTCCTTCTAAATTTATCTTACTGAATTATACTTCTCGAATCAGATCTTCGCTCCTTAATCTTCTCCACTGCTGCTAATCCTTCTATTATTGATATCACTCTTGGATTTGAACTGACAGTGGCGTCTCTGTGCTAACGTAGTATGGCAACTTGGACTGATGTACTTACATACAAAGTTCTGCGTTGTATCTGTCTGTCTATAATCGTAGGTTTGAATTACTTTCATGTTTCTAATACTTGACAAATTAAGAGAAAACATAAGAAAGTATTATTGTCATTACAACTAAATCAGTAGTGCTTATATAGAAACTCACAAAAATTATGTGGGCAATGATATTGACGAAATCATCACATTGGCTATTGTACACTCGAATTATGTATGCGTATTACTTAGAATATTTTTTCTGGCTAATCCTATGCCTAACCCTTCTCATTTATTCATGCTTAGGATTGACAGTAAGCCTAGAATGGCATCAGGTGGAGTTACCATACTCATATTTAAACTCTACTTTCTCTATGAATGTTTTCCTCAGCATGTTCAGTCAACAAGGGTCAGTTATAAATTACTAATCAACTGTCCAATGAGAGATGGCGAATTTCGGAGCAACTTGGAAGACATATGGTACAACTAATGATCACCGATGCATACTGCAGGATCCAAAAATACCAGCACAACACGGATGAACAAAACTGGAGAGACTACTCACATCAGAACACTTAACAACGTCGACAGCGGTGATCGAGATGTCAAGCTGAAGACACAGAGAACAAAGAAGAAACATCCTGAAATACTGGGTAGGGGGAGGACAAAGAGCACTAGAGAATTTTTAGAAGCTTTGCACTCAGATCAATCAGAAATCAACAAACACATCGCCACTGACCCGATTTATCAACTAATCAGGAAAATCATAAGTGACATAGGATTAAGAAACAGATCAAAAGGGGGGATACAATCAAAACAAAGGTGCAAACAACGATAGGTTTAAGGTCAATAACAGCATCTGATCAAGATCGAGGTTAACAGAACAAGCTACAGGTCAAACGTGGAGAAATTCGAGTACTTCACTTCTGCTATCTGAAGTTTGTGCTGCTGATGATGTTGTTCATAAGGAAGAACAATGAAAGCTTCACAACCAAAACACATCCAGCTCATCGAAAGCGAAATACCACCACAATACATTTTGACAAATACACAAATCAGTTAATTTTGTAGTAGATAAGTTCATCAATTCATTTTGATAGCACTTTCAGTACGCAAAAAAATAATATGAAACACACTAGTCGAATAAATCAATAAGAATTCATTGAATTTTGGATGATAGAGTTTCTTGAATTTACTTTTTATCTATTGCACATAAATCCCTAATCATTATACAATTGTGAAGATTGTTGATTTTCATTGAAATGACGAATTGATCATTGATAGGGAATCATCATTCGAAACGTAGAAGCACTAAAAAAGATGGCCATTTTGGTCTAGTATGTAACTCATAGGTAGTGTGATAATGAATGGGTGAGGTCACACAATGCCTCGGATTGTTCAATGAATTCAACACGTCATTCAAATTCAACTTTTTTCTTAAATTAAATTGTTTAACTAAACGACAAATCGAATAAACGAATTAGATTAGAAATAGGACTTGAACTCGATGACCTCAATCAAAAATTATTGATCGAACAGTTTAGTTCGTTACCATTAGTTGTGCTATCTTTATTGGTTAATTAATATAACACTTTGTGTTCTTACAATTTATGAGTATTCATTTATGGGTCTAACTTACCGAACCGGTTAGTGTCATTTGTCTTTCTATTATGTTTTTTTTTAAAAATCTTCATTTTTAATGTCGGCGACCGTTTTGCGGGGGGGCCTTTGGTACCCCTATGATTACGCGTACAGCTTACTGAAGAGTGAGTGCTACCTACGTAAAACGAAACTGTTGGGGAAGTTAAAATCCCTAGAACTCGCTTGATAAATGTCCTAATTTTGGATTTCACGTTTGCGAGCATAGGCTGATCAGTTGACCTTGAGATCACATTTCTCACCAGGGAAATCCTTCGCTGTGATTGGTGGTTACTGTGTCATTTTAGTGTGCTGTTATTGTGACTGTCCCGAGGACGTTTCTATGATGTATGAATAAACGTGTTATGCTTGCTGAGTGCTTGTCGAATATATTTTCTACACTATATCAAAACTTTTTTGGTCAGTCATTGGATCAGGGTATCCTACGTGGACGCTGGTTCATTGTCTCGTTCTTGTTTATCGACTAAGCTGAACACCCCTTAATAGTTTTAAGCATACCGAGAGTGATGATCATAATAGAAACCTCCGAAACCGCTTATCACCCACCATTTTACAAAACAGAGCAATGCTCTACTTTATATTGTGGTATCGCTGATAATAAAATCAAACAGACTTGAATGCCGATTCACATCCTCCAATATAAAATATACGAATGTTGCAATATGAGCTACATTGATCAATCGATTGACTGACTGATTTATTGATTTAACAGTGGAATCACTTGTTCATTCGGATAATTCATGCTACAAAGTCACGTGAATCACAATCTGAAGTGAAAAAAAAGAAACACTTTCAGTTTATCGTATAAAAACAGGTTGATTTCATCATCGATTGATATCGTTATTTTTAATATGATTATCATATAACTAACACACACAGTAGAGTTGATGTGAACACTCTGAAACTCTGGAGCTGCATGCAGGTACGCATTCGGCTCACTGCTAGTGGCTATATTCTGTCTATTTTATTTAAGGCGTTTGCCTACAATGCCAAAGGTCCCAGGTTCGAATCCTGCAAGGAGCAGGAGTCGTGGATGCGCATTGCTGATAAGTCCCACACCAGGACGAAACGGCGGTCCAGTGCTTCCAGGTTTCTAATGGTGGTCTAACAATGATTGATTGATGATTTCAAATACATATATACATATATCTGTATAATATATATTGACTTGCCAAGAATAATGACCATCTAACAATCATCAGACTGTAAATAAAATAAATTTGTGATCGATTGCCAACCTCAAGACTTGACACATTTTATCACTGCTGACACACGTACACAACTCATAAGAATTTA